AATTCCATTTCCCTTTGTCCTTCCACTGTCTTGAGTTTGGTGTTTATCTTTCTTATGAATATTTTTATTCCATTAGTACATATGTATGTACCCACAAGCAACATAGGATACTTGGGGGTCGGGGCCTGTTTTTGAACTTCATATCAATGGAATCATACAGTATGCACTTCTTTTGCTTAGCATAATGTCTGTGACATTAATCCAGGTCGTGTATATTAATAGTTCATTTTTAAAAATTAGGGCATAATTTACATACCATAAAATTCACTCTTTTAAAGTGTACATTTTAGTGGTTAGTCTATTCACATGGTTGTGCAACTATCAATACTATTACTATCTAATTCCAGAACATTTCCACTACCCCAAATAGAAGCCCTATACACATTAGCAGTTATTCCTCATTCCATTTCTGCTTCCTCCAAGCCCCTGACGACCACTAATCTAATTTCTGGCTCATGAATTTGCCTGTTCTGGACATTTCATTGAAATGGAATCATATAATATGAGGCCTTTTGTGACTGGCTTCTTTCACTTTACATAGTTTTCAGGGTTGATTCATGTTGTAGCATGGATCAGTATTTCATTCCTTTTTATAGCTGAATAATATTCCATTGTATGAACATTATACATTATCTATTCATTTGATTAATGCACAGTTTTGGTTATCATGGATAATGCTACTATGAATATTCATGTAAAAAGGTTTTATGTGGACATCTGTTTTCAATTCTCTTGAGTATATATCTAGGAATGGAACTGCAGAACCGTATGGTAATTACATGTTAGCCTTTTAAGGAACTGCAAAAGTATTCTCCACAGCAGCTATATGAGGGTTCCAGTTTCTCTACATCCTCTCTAGTGCTTGATATTGTCCCTCTTTTTGATTCTAGCCATCCTAGTAGGTGTAATGTAGTATCTCATTGTGGTTTTGATTTGCATTTACCTAATGACCAGTGATGTTGAACACCTTTTCATGTGCTTATTGGCCGTTTGTACATCTTCTTTAGAGAAATGTCTATTCATATTCTTTGCCCATTTTTAATTGGGTTATTTGTCTTTTTATTGTTTAGTTTTAATAGTTCTTTATATATTTTGGATGCTAGACCCATATAGATATGTGATTTGCAAATATTTTCTCTTATTTGTGGGTTGTCTTTTAATTTTCTTGAGTATCCTTTGAAGCACAAAAGCTTTTATTTTTGATAAAGTCCAATTTATTTTTCTTTGGTTGCTTATGTTTTAGGTGTCATATCTAAGAAACTATTGTTTAATCCAAGGTCACAAAGATTTATGCTTATGCTTTCTGCTAAAAGTTTTACAGTTTTAGCTCTTACGTTTAGGTCTTTGATTCATTTTGAATTAATTTTTATATCTGGTGTGAGGTTAGATTTCATTCTTTTGCATGTGGATATTTAGCTGTCCCAGGACCATTTGTTGAAAAAACTATTCTTTCCCCCATTGACTTTTCTTGACACACTTGTCAAAAATCAATTGCCTATAATATATAAGTTTATTTCTGGACTCTCAATTCTATTGCATTGATCTATATATCTGTTTTTATGCCAGTACCATACAGTCTTGATTACTGTAGCTATGTAGTAAGTTGTTAAATTGAAAAGTGTAAATCCTCCAACTGTGTTTTTCTTTTTCAAGATTATTGTAGCCATTTTGGGTCCCTAGCATTTCCATATGAATTTTAAGATCAGTTTGTCAATTTCTGCAAAGAAGTAAGTTGGGATTCGCATAGGAATTTCATTAAATCTGTAGATCAGTTTCGAGAGTATTGCCATCTTAATGCTATAAAGTCTTTTATCTATGAACATGCAATGTTCTTCCATTTATTTAGGTCTTCTTTAATTTCTTTCAGCAATGTTTTATAGTTTTTAGTATAGGAGTCTTGCTTATCTTTTGTTAAATTTATTACTAAGTATTTTATTGCTTTTGATGCTATTGTAAATAGAATTGATTTCTTAATTTCATTTTTGGATTGCTCACTGCTAGTGCGTCTAGAAATATGATTAAGTTTTGTGTGATCTTGTATCCTATTACTTTGCTGAGCTCATATATATTGTGGGTTCCTTAAGATTTTCTGTGTATAAGATGATTTCATTTGCAAATGGAGATAGTTTTACTTCTTTTTTTCCATTATGAATATATATATATTTTTTTACCTAATTGCCCTGACTAGAATCTCCAGTACAACTGTGTCAAATAGGAATAGTGAGAGGAGACATCCTGGTCTTGTTCCTGATCTTTAGGAGAAAGTTTTCAGTCTTTAACCATTTAGTATGATGTTAACTGTAGGTTTTTTGTAGGTGCCCTTTATCAGGTTGAGGAAGTTCTCTTCTATTCCTAGTTTGTTGAGTGTTTTTATCATGAAATGGTGTTGAATTTTGTCAAATGTGTTTTTCTGCCTCTATTGAGATCATGTAGTTTTTGTAATTTATTAATCTGATATATTACATTGATTTTCAAATGTTGAACCAATTTTGCATTCCTGGGATAAACCCCACTTGGTTATGTTGTATAATCCTTTTATATGTTACTGAATTCTATTTACTAGATTTTTGTTGAATATTTTTGCATCTATATTCATGAGATATCAGTCTGTAGTTTTCTTGTTATGTCTTTGTCTGGTTTTGATATCAGTTTAATGCTGGCTTCATAAGTTTATTCCCTTTTATTGCTGAGTAGTATTCCATGGAATGAATATACCATAGTCTGTTTAACCATTCATCGGCTGATGGACATTGGGTTGTTTCCAGTTTTTTTCCTATTACAGCAAATCTGTAATTTACAAACTCATATTCTTCTTTCTGAGCACAAACATGTGAAAAAGTTTCTCCAAGGGCAGGGGGTATCAATCTACCTATCCATCCACTCACCCACCCATCTATCCATCCACCAGCCCACTTAACCATTCATTCATCTACCCATCTGCTATCCAACCTTTCTCCCTCCCTGTTTCCCCCTTCCCTGTCTTCCTTTCTCTCTCCCTCATCACTATCTCCCTCCTTCCCATTTTTTCTTCCTTCCTTCCTTCCTTCCTTCCTTCCTTCCTTCCTTCCTTCCTTCCTTCCTTCTCCTTCCTTCCTTCCTTCCATAAATCATCTATCTCAAGGCACATAATGTCTGGGTCCAAGGCAAGCTGTCTTTTAAAAATAGACAGGAAACCTGCTACAGCTTTTGGCAAAGTCTTTCCACATGCTGAAACACATCCTTACACATCCTCTCTTCCCAGAATTTTTGGAGCTCCCTGGGAGTTTACTCATAGGGCCTGGGTGAACTACCATCTGTGTGAGGACTGTTTAGAGACCAGAGTCCACAGACTAGGGGCTCTCTCACCTCAAGAAACTCTCATACATACTCCTTCATCTATCACTCATTCATTCAGGAAGCCATACTCTTCCCTTTCCTCTATGTCTATCTCATTTGCTTGTTCCTCCTCTTGTTTCAGAACTCTAAATGTCTTTGGGTCTCTTCTCTAGTTGACATTTTCTCTCTTGTTGACCTCGTCCAGTGTCCGTTTTCAAAATATCTCCAGATCTAAGCATTTATTTTATCACCTCCCCTGCCAGCACACACATCAGCATAGCTTGCCTGGACTACTGCAGTAGTCTCTCCTTACAGTCCCTCTGCTTCAGCCTTCACCTCTGCAGTCTATTTCCCTCATAGAAGCCAGAGGAAGCCTATTAAATCCTAAGTCAGATCATGGCCTCCCTCTGCTTATGACCCTCCTGTGGCTCCCTCGCCAGAGTAAAAGCCAGAATCCTCTCCATGGCTCCCAAGGCTCTGCACAACTTGTCCCTACCATCTCTCCAACCTCACCTCCTCCTGCTCACCCTCACTCACTGCTTCCTCCCCCTCCATACTTGCCTCCTGCCCTTCCTCACACACGCCACGCACATTCATGCTTCAGGGTCTTTGCATTGGCTCTTCTCTCTGCCTGACATGCTCTTCCTCCAGTGCTCAATGCAGCTTCCTCCTCATCTCTTCAGGTCTGCGTTCAAATATCTCCTTATCGGTGAGGTTTCTCCTGTCCATTTCATTACATATTGGAAATTGTCTCAGCAATTTTTATCTGTATTTACTCTTTTCCATGTTTTCTTCGTCTGCAAAGCATTTATCATCCTCTAACATACTTAATATTTTCCTCACTTGGTTTTAATTATTTTGTATCTCTCCCACTAGAATTGCAGCTCTACAAGCAGGTATGCTTATCTCTTCTGTTCAACTCTGTGCGTCTAAAGCTTGGAACAAGACCAAGCACACAGTAGGTGCTCAATACATGTTTATTAATTGAATGAGTGAATGGTGTGGTGAGGGGGCAAAGTAAATTTGTCCTTGTCCCAACTACTCTGTCAAGAGCTGAGCCTCAGTTGAGATGAGTCTGGACCTACCAAATCTAAAGGTAGGAAGTGCCACATCCCCTGGGGGCACCAAATAAGGTACACCAAAAGGAGGTGGTATCATCAGGGCTGGTCTGTGAAGGTTCCATGGGACTCTTAGAGATCTTGGGTTTCAGTGAAGCCTCTGGGTGGAGGAAACAGCAGGCAGCACCTGGAAGGAGTGAGGCAAGCCTGAAAGGATGAAAAAAGATGAGTTCATGGACAAGGAGAAATTTGTCAGAGGCACTGAATCTCAAGAGCCTAAGCCTAGATTTGGTCTTCAGAGATGTCATACCCTGGTCCCTGACCCCCTAAACAGCTGAGAGATCTGACACACTAGACAAACACCCATATATACCACCAAGACAATAATAATGAAGAGCTCATATTAATTAATTAATGAGAGGTTATTAATTTATTGGGGCAGTTTGGAAGGAGGACATTCAGACATGTAGATTTGATTCCAAACCCTTCTCAGTTTCGCCCAGCAGGATGTGTCAAGTGCCTAAGTCCTCGGAGTCGTTGGAGATCTCTGGGCCTGGGAAAGGGTCTGGAGGAAGGAAGGAAGAGGACAATGTTGCAGGGAACAGAATGGAGGAGGGCCAGCCTCAATCACGAGGAAATATAGTTGGACACCTCAATCAGGTTTCTGTCAGGGTCTCGGAAGTAAATGGACATAATGGGCCCTTTTGCCCCAGTTCTGGGGACTGGACCCTCCTCAATGGGGACATCACAAGCCTAAAATGGGAAGAGAAGACAAAAGTCATTCATCATAGTCCATGTGTGAGACCAAAATTTAATTCCTTATAGGGACCTAGAAGACCTCTGTATCTTTCTGACCTCATCTCCTACCATTTTCCCTTCCCTCCCACTGCTCCAGCCATATACCAGCTTTATGACCTTGGGCAGAGTACCTAACTGCTCTGTACCTCAGTTTCCTCATCTATAAAATGGGGATGATAATAGTGTCTAGTATTATTTAATGAGTGGCAGAGTCAGAATTCAAACCCAGGCAGTTTAGACCAGAGTCCATACTCTTAACTCCTATGCTTTCCTCACTTTACTGCTAAACCAGACTTTTTCATTGATACCTTCCAAAGAAGGAATACAGGATATTTGCACAGAATATATTCAAGACCGCGATCTGTGTTCCCCAATAGGAGAACCAATGCCCCCTTTACATTAAATCATTTTAAGTGTTACAGGAACATCAACATTAAATAACAGTGAATCAGAAATTAGTTCCTCTTCAGTCCTCTTCCAATCCTTCAGATTATACCAAGAAGAAAGTCTCTGGTGGATGCTAACAAGTCCTTAGCACCTCTTTAACCACTTGCAAAATCTCCCTTTGGAATGTCCGGCCCAGAGAGTTCAGGGAATGGAAATGTCTAGAATCCGGGTGGAATGAAATTGTGATGCTTTTATAGCTGTTTGTTTTTACTGTTACCTTTCCTTTGTGCCAAGATATAATGGGTTTTTCACTTACTCGGTTGAACATTTTTTTACATAAATGTATTTATGTAAAAAGAACTTAGGTATACTATTTTTACAAGGGTGATATAAAGTTTCCTTTTAAAATGCATTTGTTTATATATTTTATGAAAAAATGATGTCAATAAAAATAATGATTAAACAATTGTGCACAGGCATTATCTGGATGTGAGGAAACCCGCTAAGCCTGAAGTTTGAGGAAGACCTCCCTGGGTCATGCTTCTGTTTTCACTGCATCAGCAGCAGCTTTCTCAAAAACAATGGAAGTTGGACTTACTTTGAGGTGCTGGACCTCAAAGTAAGGTCTCCAAAACACAATGCTTTCCGGTCTCCGTATTTGGAGAGAGAAAACAACCTAGAACTAAACCTCCAAGATGAGTGTGGGGCAAAGCCCCCTCTATGCACCTCGACAAAGTTTAAAAAAAAAATAGAACAGGGCTTTTAATGAAAAACTACAGCCTCTTGTCCCACCCCAGTCTCATTCCCTAAAGGCAACTGCTTTTAATGTGTATGTGTGTGTGTGTGTGTGTGTGTGTGAGTGTGTGTGTGTGTGTGTGTGCGCGCGCGCGTGCGTGCGTGCGTTTATTTCTTCTGGAAATTATTTCCATATCTCCAAATAATATGTTTATACTACCCATGGCAAAGACAGCAATTTGCCTACTTAATATACATTTCTCCCTTTTTTCTTATAAACACTGCCCAAATTTCAATGGGATCAATTGTGTGCCCAGCTTTAAAACCCTACATTTCCCAGCATTCCTTCTTGAGAGGCCACTTAAGGTGGCCTGGATAATGATGTAAGCAGAGATTGTGAGTGGGGCTTCTAGGAACCTCCCCACTCCACTGAGCTGGCACTTTTTGCCCATTCACTTCCTCCTTCTTCCCATCCCTGTCTGAGCCCAACTACTTACCTCTGGACTGGTCATTAAATAAGAGAAAAAGAGAACTCTATCTTCTTTAACCCACTGTTAATTGGATTTTCTCCTATGTGCCTCCAAACACAGTCCCTAACTAATGTGCCACTATTTCTTGATTTAGCAACTTTAGACATTTCTATCGTCTCCCTGCTATGATAAATGAAAAGTTAACTCATCTATATTACTACTCTTCCCAATTCTATCATCATTTTTAGTTTCTCTTTTGGTTCCCTTATAATTTTTAAGTAACCCACTTGTATCTTTATGTTTTGTTAGATGAACTACAGCTAGTTTCTCACTGGCCCTGCCCTTCTTCCCTTCATGTCTCCTTCCTCTCCTGTGCCTTTCAACCTCTGCCATTTCTTGTATCATTTTTACATTTCTTTCTTTTATATCACCATGATTGATACCATATCTATTCTATCAGAAAATGACTTTATTTCACTTTTACATTTAAATAACAGTTTGGCTGAGTATAGAATTTGAGGTTGCAGGTCATTTTCCCACAGCCTTTTAAATACGTGGTTTCATTATCTTCCTAAACTTGGTATTGCTTATAAGAAGTCTGATTTAATCTGTTTTTCATTCTTTTGTAGTTGATACATCCACTCTCCACTCCTGCAGCTTTTAGGACTTTTCTTGATCCTAGATATACTGAAATTTCATTCTAATGTGTCCAAGTACAGGGAGCTGAGACATCATATGCCTCATTATCGCCCATGCCCCTCTTTAGTTTTCTTTATGCATTTATTCTTTTTATTTCCACTCTTCATTCTTGTCCCCACCCTATTCAACCATTATAATGTGTTGATGTTCATCTTTTGGTTTTCATAAGTTATTGTAAAAAGTGTATTATTGTTTCATGTGTGTGTGTGTTATAAATTGTACCATGCTCTAGACCTGACTCTGTTTCTTTGTCTGTCACTCACCATGATCTTTTTAAGACCTGTCCATCTTGCTGTGTATGCATTCAGCTTGATGTTGCACAGTTCTATTTTTCATGTATACTGTTCCACGTTAGGTTTAAAATTTTTATCCTGTTTGCCATCCTATGGGTCCTTTCAATTTAAAACATATATTTTTTGCTTTCTCTGCATTTCCCACTTTTGAAGTTGTTCCAAATTCTCAGGAGTAGTATTCAAACTCTGGAAACCATTTTTTTTTTCCCTGAGATCTCTCTTTCCTGGGAACCTTCTTTCTCCTGCCCCCAATTAGACTGATTGTCCTTTGGATATCTTTCTGGAATCTTCCTCTTGGGATCCACTGTGTCCTAACTTCAATTTCTTCCTTATTCCTGGCTTAATCACTCATTTTGATGTAGCGTACTCTCAATTTTTAAAGCAAGTGGGAAAATTTCTGAGTCTTTTTATGTCTAAGAATGTTTTATTCTATACTCACCTTGATTAATAGTTTGGTTGGGCATAGAATTCTAGGTTGAAAAATTTACCCTGAGATTCTAGAAGGTGTTCTATTATCTTCTAGTCTCTGATGTGACTCTCGGAAAATCTGATATCTGCATTTTTCTTTTTCCTTTGTAGTTGAACTACTTTTTTTTTTCTTTTTAACCTCTCAGAAAGCTCTTAGGATCTTCATTTTCACTTTGATGTTCCATAATTTCATAAGAACAGATCTAAGTTTCAATGTGCTGGATATTCAGTTAACCCTTTTCATATAAAGACTGGAAAGTTCTCTTGCATTATTTCTATGGTAATTTTCTCTCTTCCATTTCTTCATTCTCTCTCTGGAAGTCTCACTATTCATAGTTTGGAATCTCCTCCACTGATCCTTTAAAATTTTCTCACAGATTTGTTGTGGGTTTTTAAAAGTTATTTTAAAAATATATTATAATCCAATTTTACTCCACCTGAAGTTTGGCTTTAGGGGAAGTGATTACCTTGAAAGTTATGACCTCCATTTCCAGAATTTTGGAATAAAACATGATAGTGTCTTTGATACTCTTTACTGTCATCACAATGTGGTCAAGTCTATAGATAAGACATGAGGAAGAGGTCTGACTGCTGTCCCTCCATGACTAAAAAAGAAAAGAAAAGACAAGAAAAGAAAAGAAAAGAAAAAAAAAATTCAGAGATCACATTGCCACTAGTCATATCCAAGTTTCCTGTTTCCTTCACTTTACCTCCCCTCATCTCCCCCAGTGACTATACTTCCTCTTCACCCCCATTTCAAAGGAAAAGTTGTGGGAGGAAACTTTAGTAGAGTCTTATTGCCCATGTGTGGATTCACAAGAGCCCATGTGTCTGCCATGACCACTCTCCCACTCTCCACTGTTTTCTGTTCTCTTTCTCCTTCCAGAGGTGAAGATAAAGGGAGTGGAGACCAAGACCAAACCCTCTCTTGTTTTCCCCAAGCTGGAATTTATCTCTTTTCCAAAAAGGACAAGACACAGAGGAGGCCTAACTCTATGAGTACAAACCCTCCATTGGCCAATTTAACCCAGTCCCCTCCTTTCCCATTTCACAGCTATGATCACAGGATAAAGAAGGGAGCATCTCAGGTGAAAGAAATGTTTCTGGGCATCAGTGTTTACGGATCTACCTTGACACCCAGTGGGAGGGCACACCTCCTCCTCACAACTTCTTGCCCTCTGCAGCATATCACCAGGTCTTTCTCTTGATTTGCATTCTTTAGTAATTTGTATATTTACATTACATCTGCTACAGGATTATAAGGTGCCTGTGGTCTGGCACTATAGATAGCAGAGTATAGTGGTTAAAAGAACAGACTCTGGAGCCAGACTAACATTTAATTAATCTCTCTGTGCCTTAGTTTCCATTTCTGTAAAGGTGGGCATGATTTTATACATGTCTTATAGTACTGTTGTAAACATTTTTTAAAAGAGTTGTATTTTTAAAGGCTTAGAACTATGCCTAGCATATAACCAGTGCTATAAGAGTAATGATGATGGTGATGATGTTCTGGTCATCTTGTTAAAATTCAAATTTGCTACCATGACCCCCTATCTCTACAGCCTCATCCATTGCTCTTGAACTCCAAGCCACATTGTCCTTTTGCCTGTTCCTCATAAGGGCCATCCTTGTACCTTTGGCCTCAGGGCCTTTTTCACATGGTAATATCTGCCTCCCTGACTAGAATATAAGCTTCATGAGGGTAGAGATTTCTCTCTGTTTTGTTACCTACTGTGTCCCAAACAGCTAGAAGATGCTCAATAATATTTGTTCAATTAGTGAGTATTTACTACAACAATTAGGCCCAGTGTCTGGAGCAAAGTCTGACTTCTATTTTATTATATTATTCTTTTCTACTCCTTTCCATTCCATTACACCCTATGCTATTTTATTCTATTCCATTCCACGGCGTTCAATTATTTTCTAACCATTACATTTTAAACAATTGATTTCACCAAGCCCCAGCTAAAAAAAAACAAAAACAAAACTATGTTGTTCTATTTTCGTGAGTAGAGGCAATAGGATGAGAAAATAACTGACATTTGGGCTCCATTGAAAATAAAGTCATACGTTAAAAAAATCTTATTAACATTTTAACATCTGTAGGATCTGTAATAGCACCCCCTTTTCATTCCTAATATTGGTAATTTATATATTTTCTCTTACCTGCTTGAGAGAAAACAGAAATTACTAATATTTTATTAGTTTTTTCAAAGAACCAACTTTTGACATTGTTGGTTTTCTCCAATGTATGTTTGCTTTCTATTTCACCAGTTTTTGTTCTTATCTTTATAGTTTCCTTCCTTCTTCTTTCTTAGTAATTAATTTGCTGCTCCTTTTCCAGCTTCTTGATATGGAAGTTCAGGTCACTGATTTTCAACTTTTCTGATCTATGCATTTAGAACTATAGATTTCTCTTAAGCACTGTTTAGCGACATCCCTCAATTTTGATAGTCTATTAGAAATCACCTCAACCTATTCCTCCCATTTTTCAATGCCCTGCCAGCTCAGATTCACACCCCAGATACCGGTTTGCATATGGAGAGTTCCATCTTTGCAAATTCAAGGATGAGCAGGGCTGGCTCTCTTAAGGAACAGGAAGAAGGCCACTGTGGCTTAGAAACCAAGGATGAGTGAGGCATGAGCAAGAGGAGAAGGCAAAGACCAGATCATGCAGGTTTGTCGAGGCAAGGTTAGAGAGGCTGGTTTATAAAAAGATAGTCAAGACATAGTAGTCACATAAGAGGTATTGTGTACCAAGCCCTGTTCCAAGCGTTATATAAAGTAGAATCCATTTTATTCCTTGCAATAATCCTATGTAGATAATAGAGTGCCCAGATCATGATGTCCTCCCTCTAGCCTCCTTCACAGGGAAGGTTCCTATCTTTTGACAAAGTTTTCTTTGAGGTCCCCTTCAGGGTGCCAGAGACCTCTGGAATTCTTCTGGCAAACCTCAAAGTCAGTGCTGTTTCCTGGCCCCTCCCCACACTGCCCCATGTTGATGTCCCTGGCTGAACTGGCTCCCCTGAGCCACCCTGAGGGAGCAGAGCTGCTGGCCCTCAGCCAGGCCCACTCCTGCAGACATGTTGTGGCTGACCGTGTGTTAGAGCAGGGCCTTTCCATGTCCCTCTGCTGCCCTCTGCTTGTCTTTGAAAGAGGAAGAAAGAGAGAGGAAGAGGAGAAAATGGATGTCAGTACACCAGGATAGTTTGCATAGAAGGGAAGGAGATTACCAAGCCTGGGTTGGGGGATACCCAGCCTTGGTACCAGCACCCATGCCCAAGGCTCCTAGGGGCTACCCTGTTCACCTGCTTCTCTGAAGGCCTGCCCCACATACTGGTTAGCAGCCTGGAGGGCAGACGGCACATCATGGCAAGCTAAGTGTCCTTGCTGTGAGGCCTCCAGATAACCCTCTGGCTCAGTGCCTGGAGATCAAGGGGCAGGAATGGGAGGGGCACAGGCTGAGGACTGCTAGTGGTGACAGAGGTAGGCAGTGTGAGTACAATGACTCTGACATAAAACTCAGAGCCTTGAAAGTAAAAGCTGAAGTTGTCTCTTAGCCAGCTCAGGCCACCATAATGTAGTAATATAGCCTGGGTGGCCTAAACAAAAAAAAATTATTTTCTCACAATTTTGGAGGCCAGAAGTCTGAGATCAGGGTATCGGTATGGTCAAGTTCTGGTGATGGCTCTCTACCTGGCTTGCAGTTGTCCACATTCTCATGGTGTCTTCACATGGCAGAGAGAAAGAGCAAGCTATCTGGTCTCTTCCTATTAGGGCACTAATCGCATCATGAGGACCCCACCCTCATGATCTCATCTAACCTTAATCATCTCTCAAAGGCCCCATATTCTAATACCATAATATTGGGGGTTAGGGCTTCATCATATGGACTTGTGGGGATGGGGGAACACAAACATTCAGTATGTGAATAACAAGGTATATATGTGGAAGGGGTTACTTTTTTTTTTTTTTTTAAGGCGAGGCAACCCTTGATTTACCTCACAGATTGCAAGGACCTTGTCAGCGTACAATCCCTTATTTTTTTTTTTATTTTTTATGCCTACAGCATCTGGTCTTCCTAGGTAGTATCCCATCCAAGTACTAACCAGGCCTGACCCTGCTTAGCTTCCGAGATCAGACGGGATTGGGCTTGTTCAGGGTAGCATGGCCATAGTTGGGTTACTTCTTAATAACACAGAAAAACCACCCATCCCAAAGTATTGGGGAGGGGCCTTTATTCTAGGGTATGAGTCCTCTGATCTCTTTAGGGGTGTGTCTCCAGAGTGTGACATCTCTGATCTGTTTGGGAGTCTATGACAAGAGTGTAAAGTTAGAAGCTGGGTTAAGGTATGATCTCTCTGACTTATTATGGGTCTGTTTCTGAGCCAAGATTTCTAAGCTATTAAATCTTCTGTGCCCCGGGGTACAATGTTTCTGAATTCTTTTGGGGTGTGAGCTCTGGGATTTTCCCCATCCCCACCCATCCCTCACCCCACACTTACCCTCTGCTGCTAAGAGGTGGGGAATATTTATCAGCTCCATTGCTATTCACCTTATCCTGAGCTGAACTCCCTCTCTTGTGGGTTACCTGTCCAGCCCCAAAATCTCTCTGGATGACCCTGGGACTGTTGACTCTCCAGTATGTGTGACCCTTGGAGTGTTCATACTCCTGTCTGAATGACATGTGACATAGGGCATGTGAATTTGAGATTCTTGTTCCTAGACATATCCTAGATAATCCCCCCACCCTGACACACACACACACACACACACACACGCGCGCGCGCGCGCGCGCACTCAAATGCTCTGTGCTATGGATATTGTTTTTAGCATGTGATTTTCCTTTATCTAGAATTATACAAATAATATATGAATAAAGGTTTGTTTAAAAGGTTCCAACAATATATCAATATATGGACTACACAGGTTATCCCTTACGTTACTCTCCAAAAATGACCACTGGGGCCAATTTCTGGTGTTTCCGAACACACACACACACACACACACACA